TCTCTGTTTTTGGTGATACTGGGGTTTGAGCTCCTGGCCTCACGATTGCAAGGCAGGTGCTCTACCACCTGAGCCACTCCTCCAGCCCTTTTTGTGTGTGTATTGGGTATTTTTGAGATAGGGTCTTTGGATCCTCCTGATCTCTGCCAGGCCTGTAACTAGGATTACAGGTGTGAGCCACCAGTGCCTGGTCCTCCTTTGTTTCTTGAATTTTACCCATGAATCTGCAAAACAGGACGCATCGGAGCACGGCTCCTGATGGATCAACACCGTGCCTTTCCATTCGCATTCTCAGTTTTCAAATCTGACTTGCAGATGTGATTGTGTCTCTGTTTTGCCAAAGAAACACTATTCTTCCCCTTAAGCTTTACTGGAAGCACCCTGAGGAACCACTGACTTGGGCATTTGGCGTCTGTCTTCTGCAGTTTCTGTCAACCTGGGCTCTGGTCTTTGACCCCAGTTGGAGAACTTTCAAGGTGGACTGTGGCTTGCAGAATGCATCTGTGGTTGGCAAGGAGAGAAGGCTGGTTAGGAAACGCCCACATCATGCACATGCAGGGAGGATGTCTGTGCATTTCCTACAGACAAATTAGGGCAAGGAAACCAGCATGAGCTATCTTAAAGGGACTTTGCTCAAGAGTACAAAACTGGCCCCTACTCTAAGGCACTCCTGCAGAATGCTAAACCCAATGTGTGCAGAGGGAACATAAGCATGCAGCTTTCCTGCCGCTAAGGTGTCTTTGAGAAGCTCCTGGGTATGGCCCAAGAAAAGGGTTGACCTTTGAACACCTGGAGAGTTAGCCAGCTTTGTAGATGGAGGATACAGTCCCATGTACGTATGATGTCTTACGATTCAGCTGTCTACAGCCATGTGCTGGCCTCGGTTCCTCAGCAGCTGTTTACAATCCCCCACTTTGTCTTTCTGGAGAAGCTCTGGTCTTCTCAAGGTAGTTCCTGTTCCATGCAAAGTGCTTCCAGGCTAAGGGGGTCGTCAGCCAGCTAAAGATGAGATATTTGGGAACTGGGTCAAATAGAACTTGCAGGGTTCGGTAAGAATAGCCTATTTGCTATATTAGCCAGCAGCATATGGGATTTTCCCCGTCAGACTGGAGATTGAACCCAGGCCCTTGTGCATGCTTAGGCAGGTGTTCTACCACTCAAGTCACACAGCCAGCCCTATTGTTTTTTGAGATGGGGTCTTGAGCTACCTTGTGCCTGGGATGACCTTGAATCTGCCATCCTCTTCCTTTGCCTCCCAAGCAGCTGGGATTACAGGTGTGCATGCAGCACTAGGTTCCATGCAGGAAACTGAAGCACAACGTAGTATTCAGTGGCTTGCAGGGTAAGTCCAGTGTGCCAAGCTTAAACACTGATTCTGAAATGGAAGGAGAGCAAGAGGGCAAAGCAAGGACTGGAAACAAGAACATCCCATGGCTCATGTGAATGAGAACAGAAGTAAGTGCTACCGGCAGTGGAAGGGCTAAAGGATCCCTTCAGCCTGAGGGTGTGAAGTGGGCTTCTTATGGAAAACTACCGGATGGCAGGGGAGGGGGGGGTGGAATTCCATATTTGGAAGGGAGTGAGAGCTAACTGGGCCTAGGAGTTAAAGAGAAAAATTGAACCAATAGATGAGGGTGGATTGCAAAAATCTCAAATGTCAGGCAGGGAAGAAACACTCATGGTGGTCCATGAGTGAAAGGGTACTTTGGGGGAGCTTCTCAGTGGATTCAAGTTCTTACTCCTTTTTTTTTTTTTTTCCTTTTTTTGAGATACTGGAGCTTGAATTCAAGGCCTTTACCTTGAGCCACATCACCAGCCCAATTTTTGTGAAAGGATTTTTCGAGATAGGGTCTTGCAAACTATTTGCTGCCCAGGCTGGCTTCGAACTACGATCCTCCCCATCTCTGCCTCCTGAGTAGCTAGGATTACAGGTGTGAGCCACTGTGCCTGGCTCTTACTTCTTTTTGCGTTTTTTTTTTTGTGTGTGTGTTGAGAGGGCAAAAGAATCCACAACAGACTGTCTCAGGACAAGGGAGGAAGTTAAGAAGTAAGGACAAGAAGAGAGCTCATCCTTTCCTTCTTCACACACACCAGGTCCTATCACTAACACATTTTAATTTTATGATAAAATTCCTATAAGTAGATATTAAGTGATTCAAACATTTCATTTGGAGGCATTCTACCTCTGTATGCCAAGGGAAGAATTTAGGGTCTAGCTGGGCACTGGCTCATCCTTGTAATCCCAGCTACTCAAGAAGCAGAGATCGGGAGGATCGTGAGATCCTATCTTGAAAAACCTTATCACAAAAAATTGGGCTGGTGGAGTGGCTCAAGGTAAGGCCCTGAGTTCAAGCTCCAGTACTGAAAAACAAAAACAAAAACAAACAAACAAACAAAATCCCCAACCAACCAACCAACCAAACAAAAAAACCCAAAACAAAACAAAAAAGAATTTAGGGTCTAGTTTCCACCAAACTAGGGGTTAGATGAGGAATATCACAGGGTATTCCTAAAGTGCCACCAATGAGGCAGTCATTAATCCACCCAGTCCTCGACCTATCCTTCATCCCACAAGTCCACATTTTCTGGAATGCCCACCATGTGCCATGTCCCACACTGCGTATCTGAGTTGTGACAATGAATAAAACTGTCCTCAGTTGTGGTGCACATCTTCTTGGTGGGAATGGGAGAAATAGGTGAAACTCTGTCACGCAGGAGGATGAGTACTTTAGGATTTATGATACAATTCTTCACTTTTGCTGTGTTTGAGCGTTTTCCCAATGAAGGCAGATACTAGTAACAACTGTCCTTTGTTTCAAGCAAGAGAGATGCTTGTATCACAAGGCCAGATGCACCCTAAAGTGGCACCACGGATGTTAGTGGAGGAGAAATCCCCTTGGCAGGGTGGGAAGGGCAGTCAGGAACGCCTGCGGGAGGAAACTGACTGAACTGTAGAAAACTACGTGCTCAGATGGAGCTACGAAGTCAAAATTACAGGTCTGATTCATAGGTCAGGGTCAGGAGTGGGGAACTAGCTCCCACCATGTAGCTTGCCTACTTCTTCCTTCCTCCAAATGCTTAAAGCCAGTAGAGGTGGGCAGACATTAGATTCCATCGACATCTCCACAACACCCGTGTGCCAGATGTTACACAAAGGCTTTGGGTTAGACTCTGTCTGCACCGTCTACAGAGCTGGGAACAAGGAGTCCAAGGCACTCCTGAAACTGTGGGAACGGTGACACAATAAGGCCAAGGGGCAGGTGAAGCACTCCACATAGGGGGGCAGCGGTCAAAAAACTTGAGGTGGGGCAGTCGTGGGTTCGAATCCTGACTAGCCCAATGTCTTTGAACAAGTCTCCGAACCTGATTCAACACCTCCATCTATAAAGGGGGTGCAGTAAAACCTTGTAAGCTTTATCCTACGGAGCAGTTTCGAACCGTCAAGATCCTAAGACAGGCAAAACTCCATACATGGCAGCCATCATTCTCGGCCAAGTGTGGGCGCATCCTCCGGGCGCGCCTCCCGCGGGGTCCCTGGGGACAGGGCTAGGCCGCCCCTGCGACTCGGGTCTCTCAAGGCTCACGGCAGGTGGCCCAGCATCGGGGTGCCTGCGCCCCCAGCCAGCGGGTTGGCCGCAGGTCTCCCCTGGAGGATCACCCCTCCCCCACGCCATCCAGGTGAGGTTTCGGGCGCAGGCCACGGGTACAGCGACCTCGCGAGGGGCGGCTGCGGAGGCGCCGCCGAGGCCTGGAGGGGTCGCGAGGGCGCCGGCTCCGCGCCCGGGTCCACCCCGCCCGGGCCCCGCGGGCTGCGCGCTCTGCGGCCGCGAAAACCCGGAGCGGCGGATCGGAGCGCTCGGCGCGCTCGCCGCCAACTCCTCCGCGGTCCGGCTCCGAGCTGGGCATGCTCAGTGCGGCCGCGCCGCCGTCGCCAACTCGGAAGCTCGCGCTCCCGGGCCGTGGGGGCGACAACGCCGGCGGCGAGCCGGAGTCGCCCTCCGCACCGAGGCAGTGGCAAACTTCGCGGCGTTTCCTGAGCTCGTCCAGGAGAGGCGGACGTCTCCGCAAACCAAATCCAGTCCCCTCGCCCTCGTCCCCTCCCGGTCGATGGGGGCTGCGGCTGCCGGAGCGTCCCCGCCGCCGGCGGCCCTTGCGCACTAGCCGGGGACCAACAGGTAAACTGTTGGGCGGGGTGGGGGCGGGGAGGCAGGTGGCGTTGCGACGCCTGCCGGCTGGCCGCCCCCGGCGCACGCACGGCCAGCCCTCCTCACTCCGCTCCCCCACCCCTGGAAGGGCAGCAGAGGGTTAAATCGGCCCCGCGCCACCGTAAGTGTGGCTCCCTCCGGCCGCTGCGACCGCCAGCAGCGCGCCCTGGCGCCGGCCCGCAGCCGCCGCGGGGACCCGAGCCGCGGATGCGCCACCGGGGCCGGCGGGCGTCTAGGAGGCACGGCCGCCGTGCGCATCCCTGCCTCCCAGCCTCCCTCCTGCAGGCCTCCTCCTTCCCTCCGCGCGGGCCGGGGCTGCGCCCAGGTGCCCGGGTCTGGGGGGCGCGCGGCGGCGCGAACGGTCCCTGCCGAGCCAGGGGGCGGGGGCGCTTCACGAGGAGCAGGGCCGTCCCCGCCTGGGGCGAGCACTTGAGGCCCCCGCCCATGCGCCAAGAAAAGTTTTTTTCCTCTCCCCCCGTACCCCTCCCCCACCCCCATCCTGCGCCCAGCTGGGGTGGGTTTGGGTCCATTGGTGAAAAAAAGTCACACGTTCCCGTCAGCTGCTCCTCCCCACTGGGGACCGGGCGGGGGTGGCGGGAGGCCGGCGCCGCGGCGGGCTCTGGCTGACCTCCAGCCCCGCCGCCTCGCGCGCGCTGCGTCCCTGGGCTCGAGCGCAGCCCGTGCCGCCGAAGGCTGCCCCCATCCGTGCGTGTCTGCGTGCCGGGCAGCGGCCGCATCCAACCTGCTTTATTCCTGCCTGCAGCGCCACAGCCAGCGAGAGAGAGAGAGCGAGCGAGCGAGCGAGCGAGGAGGGGAGAGGGAGCCTGTCTGCAAAGTGCTGCTCCCTGGTGCTCAGAGGCGGCTGCTCCAGCTCCAACTCTCATTCATTTCGCCGGTTAACATGAGAGATCATGGCCGCCTTCGGGCTTCTCAGCTATGAGCAGAGACCGCTGAAGCGCCCCCGGCTCGGGCCGCCCGACGTCTACCCGCAGGACCCCAAGCAGAAGGAGGTGAGGGCGCCGGCGGCCTCCGCAGCGCTGACCCGGGGCCAAGTTGGCCCGGTGATGTCCGCCGGCGCTGCAGGGAGCGGGGGGAGGGCCATCGGAGGCCGGGCCCGTCTAGGGGGGCTGGGGGATCCCTGGCGACCGAGACCCAGCGTCTGTCACTCATCGCGCTCCGTTGGGGCGCTTGCTTCTCGGTGCCAGGTCACTTCCCGGGAATCGGGCCTTGCACCGCGCCATCGGGAGCTTCTGGGGCTTCTTCCTTGCCTAAACTCTCCTACTAGCTTTCCTTCTCTTTGCTTGCTTTATTTTTTTTCTCTGCCGCTTCGGTAAATCCTCGTAAACTTTTTGAAAAATGTTGGATTGCAGTGCATTCAACACTGAGGTCTTGCGTTTTGTGCCAGCTGAGCAGGGACGGATGGGGGAGGGACCCTTTCAAAAATTCTCACCCAGTTTGGAACAGGTGAGAATTGGGTAAGAACTGTCGAGGGGGACAACATATTCAGCCCTCGGAATGGACCTTTGGATCCCCTCGCCCTTTTAAAATTCAGTATTAAGGAGAAACTCTGATTTTTTGTCCCTGGAGGCAACTGGCTTAATTGCTGGAGGCTGTTTTGTATTTGTGAACGCAAGCGAGTTACCTTGGAAGAGAATAGCTTTCAGGATTACTTATTTCTTTAAATGAGTTTAATTGGGGAAACCGTGACTTGCACCAGGTACATTAGCTTCAGTGGTGAGGGTAACCATGGCATTTTGTAGCTCTGTATGCGTTTGTCAGGAGTTAACAAGTAATTATGTAACAACCCTCTGGTTGTAATGATGATCACCCTTGGCTACACATTTGCCCAGGGACTTGCCTTTTTCTTTGATCACCTGCTACCCAGCTGTGCTTTCCAGAGTTTGCCATCTGTAGCCCACACGACCTCTATTTTCTTCATAAAGTGACTCTGTGAATCCCAAAACCCTCAAATGAAAGTTTGGAGGCCCACTGATTTCTTAAGAGAGGGTGTTGTACATAAGGCAAGGAGGACTTCTTAAGACTTTTGTTTTGATAATTGTATCCATTTCGTTCATCCAGGGGGAATGTTAGCTTACCCTAAACTGTTTTGTTAATAAAGTGAGAGGAGCCACAGCTAAGTAGAGATTTAGCAGGTTAAATTTGAGCATTCTGGGAGTAATTCAGGTTGAAGCTGGGAAGGTTTACGGGCGGTTACCACCGGAGACCTAAAAGGACAGGGTTTGAGAGAATGCAGATTTTTTTCCCCTCCGATTTGCTCCCTCTAGTCCGAATGAAGTTAATTGTTCATGACTGGAAAGAAAGTTAACTTAAAAACCACTGGCAGGAACTCTTGGAAGTTTTGGTGTGGACAGTGACATTAGTTTGGTTGGTCTTTATCTTGCAATTAATGCCTTGCTACCTCTTTCCAGAGGGCAGTATGGTCGATGGCACCTCCCAGTCATGGGCTGTGGGCTTGGGATGACACACATGCTTACTTTTTTCCAGGATATTTTCCAGGATAACACTTATTTCAGGATTGGGGTCTCTGTGATTCTGTGAAGAATAATTCTGGAATGCAGGGGTCATTGTGTGGAATTCTAAAAGTGGAAGTGACTTTGGAGGCTACTTTTTATATTGTCATTTTGACAAAGTGAAACAGAAACCCAGAAGAACTTAAGTGACTTAACCAAGCTGTGTGATCGACAAGCAGAGTTGAATTTCCAACTCAGTGCTGATGTCAAAAGGGTAACTTGTGCTAAGTGACGTCACTCTGCCACCATGCCTGCCCCCAAGGCAATGAGCAGAGTTACTGCGTGGCTGTGGTCACGTTTGGGTGCAATATGGAATGGGTACTTGGCCCTTGTTGAGCAACTGATGAGCAGTTCCCTGAGCTTCATCTATGCCCTGCCTCCCTCAAGCTTCTTGCCCTGTAATGTACCACCTGTATCTCGACTCTGACGTTCTTTACATTAACTTTCAAGGACCTTTTCTGTTCTTCCTAGGCAGTGGTTCAGTGGAGTCCTGAGTTTATTGCAATACGTATGCATATGTGTAAAGTTTTTGTCATCACACACACGTATTTATCGTTATTTACTGTCACACACACGCACATGACACACACACACACAATCTATCGTTACACAGATGCCATGAGACCATAACTGTTACCATTGTCAAAAGTCCATCTTGCATCTGAAACCATAGGGCTTTCCATTGAGATACATGTCCCATGTGGTGGGAAAACCCCGACTTGGGGGGAGTGTGGGCTTCCAAGTTGGAAGTCATGGGTTTGAATTCTGGCTAGCACCTGTGCACTTGGGAAAGTCCCATAATTTCTCATCTGTAAATTAGTTCATTTGTGCTCTTCAGAAAAAAAAAACAATTATGAAAGTTTCCACATTTGTGTGAGAAAACCCCTCCTAGTAGGAGCTATCCTTGTCTCCTTGTATGTGTAATTTTTATTATTGTTAACCAGTGATGATAATGTGGAAAATGACTCCCCAAGGATTGGGTGGAACCCCTTAGTGAGGACCCCTGTGAGAAGTATTGGAAGAAAGAGCTGGAAGCATTAGCCTGCTTGATCAATTGATCGGTTATCTTCATTCAAGAACTGGCTGTGTGCCAGTATCCCACAGGCCTTTGTATGGTGTCCTCTGGAAACAGACTGTACTCCCGCCTTTAAAACAGGAGTCACTTTGGTCCTCCTCCTCCTTTACTCCTCTCCTATCCATCAGCACATCTTGTCCAGACCAGTTCCAAAATGTATTTCCAGGTCATTGGCTGCTCCTCATTCTCACCAAAAGCTTCTTTTCTGCTTCCACGCAGCGTTTACTCGGGCTGTTGCATATGTTGGTCTGTCTGCCTGGACAGCTGTCTGTCTGCCTTCCCTTCCTAATATTCTGCTGGCTCTTAGCGTGTGGTCAGAAGGTAGGCTCTGGAGCCTGTCTGCCTCTACTGACTCCTGGCTGTCCTGTTTACATAGCTGTCTCCTTCCTGGCAAAGTGGGAATGAGACTACCACTTACCCCACAGGATCTTGGAAGATTTCATAGAAACCACTCAGAATAGAACCTGGTGGGGATTCTTCACCCAGGTATTTGCTGTCATGAACAGGTTAGGAAGTTGGACTGATGTCCTCAGATCTATGATTCGTAATTACCTGTTTGTTTGCATCTGCCCATCCCTTATTAATGGGACAGTTTCATTGGGACGGGCTGAGTCTGTTTTAGGCCTCACTTAGTATCTGGCACCTGGTACAGTTAGTTCCTGAACTATGGAGGGTACCAATGTCTATTGGAATGTGGAGTGAAAAACAAAACAAAACAAACCCAGGAAAAGCCTGGTGCCTGAAAGGTAAATGCTGAGCTCATCCTCAGAGTCCACCAGACTGACAGTAAAATCAACCCTTGACAGCAGGGACAGGGATTTCTGCCAGAGATAGGAGCCCAGACCATCTGTAGCAAATGTGCCCAGGAAAACAATAAGAAAAAGGGACTGGGGCAGTAGTGAGAGTCAGGCATTAGGAGTCCTCTAGGGGAGGATTGCTTGCTGCTCTGGATTGCTACAGGCTGTCCAAGGACCCAGGCAGCATAGCTTTGGAGAGTTAGTGTGACGGTGGCAGCTGGTGTGCAACTCACTACAGTGGTTCTCAGCTTCAGAGCATATTCACATTCCTTGGAGGACTTTTTAAAACAGACTCTTGGCCTGGCAGGGGTGGGGGAGGGATCTGAGTGGTAGCCCCAGAACTTGCCTTTCTAACAAGATCTCCTGTGATCTGATGCTGCTGGTTCAGAGCCCCACTTTAAGAACCTTGACCTAGAGAAGAAGATGGCCTACCCTGCAGGAGCTGGGGCATCAGTTGGATGTGGCAACTCTGGGTCAGCATCTGTGTGTGGCCAAAGTTATCAGCCAACTCCACCAGGGTTGGGTGTTTTTGGTGGCACTGGGTTTGAACTCAGAGCCTCATACTTGTCAGGCAAGCACTCTTACCGCTTGAGTCGCTCCTCCAGCCCATAGCTGTACCCTCTCAGTCAGCTCCAAGGGAATGAGTCAGGGGGGCTCTGTCTCCCTCCAGTGACTTTCAGTTACTCTTGGAATAACCTCCTACCCTTCAGGGGCCTTCTTTGCAACCCCTGTCTGCAGCCAGAGAGCCTGGCTTTCAGTCCTTATTCCACCACACCCCGCTGAGAGACTCTGATTCCTCACCTGTGGAACAGAGTTTATATTTGTTTGTTCTTGGGGTTGTTGGGAGGAAAGAATGAGCTGCCCTAAGCAAAGCGTGTTGAACTCTGCCTGTCACAGGACCTCACTCAGTACAGGTTGGCTACTCTTAGTTTCTATTATTGTTGAAGGGCCTCAGGGCCTCAGGGCCTCCCACTGGTCTCAAAACAACATCCCAGAGACCCTGCCCTTTGAGGTCTGGGGCTTGAACCAGGAGTTCCCCACGCTGGCTGTGCAGTGAGGACATGCTGCCCTTCAGCAGCAGGCCCAGCCCCTTTGTTTCTAGGTTCCCATGCCATGCTTCCCCTGCAGTTCTGTTTCCTGTCTCTGGTTCTTAGCTCAGACACTCTCACAGGGAGTCCTTCCCTGCGCCCATCACCTTGGCTAGTTTAACCCTTTTTTAATGTTTCTCACAGTGCTTGTCACTATGGGTGTTTTGATTATTAGGGTGACTGTTTTCTCCATGGCCTGCCTTCCACATTGGAGCATAAGCTGCCTAAGGCAGGGGCTTGTAAACCCTGGTGTTCACAGCTGTGACTGCCTAGTGCCTGGGATTAGACTAGGTGATAGTTATGAAGAGTTGAATAAAATGGAGAAAACTTGTAGTGAGCAATTGTATTACAGCATTTAATTGTCCCGGTGCTTGCTTTATTTTGTTAACTCCTGTTAGTTTTGTTATTAACTTCTGAAACTCTTCAAACACACAAATGCTTGTTTCAGGACAGCTAGGGAGGTGCACGGGGGAGGTTCATTAAGTTGCCTGGGAAGACAGGACAGGTTGACCAGTTGCC